ACTTATGTATACTCGGCACATGCATGTATGCATGCATTTTGGGGCTGGAGTTTCTTGACTCCAGGCGTGGGCCCAGACATTCCCAAACTGAGGACTGCTGCTGAGGCCTTGTCTACACTCAAAACATATTCAGTTACACCCGGCTTGCCGCTGCTGTTGCTGTTGCTGCTGCTTCTACTGCAGCCGCTGCTGCTATTGCTGCTGCTCTTTTCCTTACTGTTGCTGCTACTCCCGGTGCTTATAATGCTGTCGCTGATGGTATTGCTGTTTGGGGTACTTCTGCTGTTGCTGGGGGCCTGGGTGCGGCTGTTGTTGTCACTGCAACTGCTGCTGCTGCTGCTGTTGCTGCTGCTGCTGCTTATTGATGCTTTTGCTGCTGGATGTCAGTAGTGGGAGCAGCCACGGGTTGCGGGGGTAAGGGGCCCTCGCCTCTGTGAGCTCGGGTGTTCAATAATTTAGAAGAAATGACCTTCAATTATTCATTTATTTTTAATTAATAAATTATTTATCAAATAGACTATTAATATATTACCCCCTCCCAGTAGCTCTGTATAAGCAGCGGCGCTGATGGGGGGGCTCATGTACGGGGTGCTGTTCCGTTTCTTCTGGGCGAAAGCTGTGCTCTAATATGCAGCATTTAAATTAGATATAATTATTGATATACGTGAAATAAAATACAGCTAATTATTTATACACATATCTGTATTTTCTCTCCCCCGCGCTTGTGTGCCTGTGTCGAGCGGCTGGTATAATACACCAGCAGCAGCAGCAGCGATAGCAGCAGCGCTGGGGGTTCGTCGGTGTCCGTTGAGTTGAATTCCTTAGAACCGCAAGATTAGATTCAAGTGAGTTGGTTCAAGTAAAAAACAAAATTAAGAAAACAGGTTTTAATATCTGGGCGATGCTGTTGCACTGCGGACGAGGCGGCGTGGCGCGCGCATCGATCTGCGGTGTATGGACAGCGGCAACCGTGGCAGCAGCAGTAGCTGTTTCACTGTCTTTTTCTGCTGAGACGTCTGCTCCTTCTTTTCTCACTTTTCCTCCTCCCCACAGTCGCCCTAGCTCCCTCGCCTCCCGCTTCCTGGCGCAACACAGAGCAGCCCTAGCTGCGCGGTCACTGCGGCACCAACAGCAACTCCAGCAGCAGCAACCGCAACAGCAGCAGCAGGGTTCTCCTGTATCTGCGTTTTTGGCTTCTGTAGGGGCTGGCCAGTCGGGTGTGCAGCGGCAGGGGCCCCCCGCTTTATCCTTTTCTTCTCTGCCAAGGGGCCCCCCATCCTCTAGGGCCCCAGGCGACCCCACGGGGGCCCCCGTAGGCGCTGCTGAGGGGGCCTCCCCGCAGCAGTACCCAGCAGCAACGATGGCGTGGCATAGCCATGGAAGGACAAACAAAGAGCTGGTGGAGAACCTGAGGAGGGCCGGGGTCTTCACAGATCAACGTGTGTATGAGACGATGGTGCAGGTGAGACAGCAGGAGCAGCAATAGCAGCAGACAGCAACATCAGATAGGCAGAGCAGCAGTAGCCTACAGTAGAAGAACATCAGCAGCTGCAGCAGGTAGCAGCCATTTTCCTTCCCCTCCTCCCCTGCGCCCCCCCCCCCTTCCCCCCCAAACCCTAAACCCTAAACCCTAAACCCTATTTGATTGTGGTGGTTGCAGGTTGACCGTGGTTATTTTGTAAAGGAAGACCCTTATCTGGATATGCCTCAATCTATTGGCTTTGGGGCCACCATCTCTGCCCCTCATATGCATGCGATTGCACTGCAGCAATTAAAAGATGAACTGAAATGGGGGAATAGAGCGCTTGATGTTGGTGAGATATTCAGGTGTACAGACACCGCAGAAAAAGTATTGTATCGATACTTAACGTTTGCTTTGTTTTGTTTTGTTTTGTTTGTTTTTTTGAGGTGAGGAATGGGGTTCAGTTGTTCTATTACTTTGTTTCGTTTTGCTTTGTTGTTTAGTGTTTTTGTTTTCTTTTTGTGTTTTGTTCTTTTCTGTTTTCCCTGCCCCGTCTGTTGGTTTGGACATCCTCATTATGCGGTGCTGCAACAGAAGCAGCAACAGAAGCAGCAGAAGCAGCAGAAGCAGCAAAAGCAACAGAAGCAGTAGCAGCAGCAGCAACAGCAGTAACAGCAGCAGCAGGGTGTGTTGTGTTGCTGCAGGCAGCGGCACGGGGTACCTAACAGTTTGTATGGGCCTCATGGTGGGGGCGGGCGAGGAGGGGGGGGGAATAGCCATAGGCATGGATTACATACAAGGCCTCGTAGACCTCTCCAGAAGGTACTAAACCCTAATCCCTAAACCCTAAACCCTAAACCCTAAACCCTAATGTGTAGAGACCACACTAAACGGCACTGCCAGCCAGACTGAGAGTTTATCCAGCTCAGGGGTTCTTTGGATGTGCGGGATTACCGCCTTCTCCCCATGTTTATTAGGGTTTAGGGTTTAGGGTTTAGGGTTTAGGGTTTGTGTTTCACAGGAACGTGGCTGCTGGATATCCTCAGCTGTTGCAGAGCAAGAACTTTGAGTTGATAAAAGGGGACGGTTGGGCTGGGGGCCCCTCATGGGGGGCCCCATATGATGCGATTCATGTGGGTGCAGCAGCAGCAGCAGTTCCTGCTGCGCTGCTGCAGCAGCTTGCTCCAGGGGGTAAGATGGTGATTCCGGTGGAGTGCAAGAGAGGCCGTATAACCCTTGAGGGTTTAGGGGAGAGAGAAATAGGAGGAGAGCTTGGGGGGGGGCAGGCCCTGGTTGCTGTCAATAAGAACGAAGAGGGGACTGTCTCCGTTAAGTATGTCACCAGTGTGGTGTATGTACCCCTTGTACGCACCTCCTAAACCCTAAACCATAAACACTAAACCCTAAACCCTAGGGCATTTCCATACATTTCCATAGAGACCACTGACTGCAGAGCAGCAGGGACAGAGACACCTCGTACTGCTCTCCGATGAGGAGACAGCTGTCTCCTTTCCCCCAAGTGGGTGTCTCCTTGAGCACTGCTGTAGCGGAGACGCTGTCTGTACACCGCAGCAAGCAGCGAGCGGGGGCCCCAAAAAGAGACTCAGGGGGAGGCCCGTCCTTGGGTTGGCGTGGTGTACGTACCCTGGGGGCCCCTGTCGGGTGTACGTACAATGGGGGCCCCGCCCGCCTTTTTTTGTGTGCCTTGGCCTTTTGGTGGGGAGCAGGCGATGCCTGGCTAGCCGCCCTTCGGGGCTTCGCCTCAAATGTCAAGACAGATAACTTGTTAGCTAGCTAGCTAGCTAGCTAGCCGGGAAACATAAGCTACCTGGCTAGCTAGTGCGACCAGTGCGTTTAGCTGGATAGGTACCAGAGCTAGCTAGGTAGCTCGCTTGTGGTTAGGTAGGTAGGTGGCTAGCTAGATGGATAGTTGGATACATGCACCGCAATAGTTAGCTAGCTAGCAAGCTGGCTAGCTGTATAGATGGGGACATCGGACTGGTTAGCTAGCTAGCTAGCTAGCTAGCTAGCTAGTGTAAAGATAGCTGTATGCCGTGTATACGGTGAGTTCGATAGCTAGAAGAGAGATGTATACCCCTTCTAATAATCGTGAGATGGGCAGGCAGTGAAAGTAAATAAAGAACGAGTGCGTTAGAGGAGGTATATACTGCAGTTCATATATATATATATATATATATATATATATATATATATATATATATATATATATATATATA